GAAACATTGCTCGTTTGAATACACGTGGAGCTGCCCTGCTGTCGGGCTGGGAGGGCGCTAGGACCCGGCTGTGCCCCCGCCCCGGCCCTTCCCTTCAGCCGCACTCCCGCTCGGGGGACTTTCAGTTTTGGCTGCGCTGCGTCTTTTTATTTAATTTTTTTTTTTTTTTTTTTTTTTCCCGTGGAGGGGGGTGAAAAAAGGTTAAAAACAAATAATAAAAATAAAAACACCGCCGCCGACCCCGAAACCGCGACAAAAGTCCTAAAGTGTCAAGATGGTGAAGACGGGATGAGAGGAAAAAGAGAGGCAGCCATGGCAGCCAGGCGGGTGTTCCACCTCCAGCCATGCGGTGAGCGGCAACACCAGTGCGATGAGTGTTACGGCAGATGGGGGGGGAAAAGGGGCTGAGGGTGGGGGGTGTCCCCGGTTTGTCCCCTCGTTAGGGATGGGGAGGTGGGGGGGGATGCCGGCAGTGCGATGCGTGGTGATGGGATGCAATGGGATGCGTGCTGGTGCCCTGCTCTTGGAAGGGGTTTTCTGGGGAAGGAAAGTGGGAGAAACTTGGCTTTGCGTCATTGTTTTGGGGATTTTTTTTTCATGGGAGCCGGCTGTTGTTTTGAGGAGGTGATGACACTTTGCATCTGGGCTCGTTGGACAGCACCGAGCCGCTTACACCGAGCGGGCACGGGTTTGGGGTGGGTGAACTCAGGGGGGCACAAATACAGCGTGGAAGAGGATGAAGGAGCGATTTAAATTCGGGACCTTTTGTTGTTCTGGGTGTCTTTTTCCCCTCTTTGTGTGCTTTGTTTATACCTCAAATGGGAGGAGGGCATGGCTTGCTGTTAGCTCCACTCTGGCTCTCTGTTTGCGGATGCGATCGTTTGGCTTCACTTTGGCAACGGTGTAATTAATAGTAATAATTAAAAACAATGAAGTTAAGCAGCTTGAGCTGAACGATCAGAGGTACTCGGACAGCGGTGCTTGTTGGCAGGACCCCAGCAATGTGTTTGTGATCTCCAATTTGCAGTGCTTGCAACCGGGTGGTTTTAAATGCATGTTGAATTGCGCTCTTTGGCTTTTGCTCAACTTTTAAGTCACGTTCTGCTGTGTTTTCCCCCCCCCCAGTGCCTTCTCACAGGGAGTGCTTCCTTACTCAGTGTGGCTGCATTCGTGCTGATTTGTCACTAAATTAAGTGACGGGGAATTGAGTTTGCATAGAGAAGTTTGTTCTGGTGGAAAAGCAACTGTAGGTGGCACAACAGCTTTGCCTGCAAAGCTGTGATCAGGGAGAATGGGCTATAGATTTCACTCTGGGATCTCAGCCTGGGGAGGGAGGGCTGTACCTCTGTTTAAGGAAGGAAAGAAAGGTTGCTTCAGTTCTGATGCATTTCCTCAAAACTTCCTGTACTGTTGTTTTTTGTGTCCAGGGCTGTCATTATGATGACTTGATGGTGAGGGCTGACCAGCAGCAAGATGCACACAAGCAGTGCCTACTTGGGAGCATATAGACTCTTTCCAAGCTGCTGTGATGTCTTCCTATGCAAGATTTCTCTATAAACCTTTGGGTTTTCTCAAGTTTTTTCTCAAGTTGTAAGTGTAGCCTTGTCTCTCCTGTGTATAGTTCCCATCCCACAGAGTGTGGCTGAAAGAAGTAATAAACTGCTTGACCCATGGGTTGTGCAAGGCCAGCAGCATTTCAGCCACCTCACCTGGGCTGCTGTTGGAGTTGGTTCTGGGGCTGTTCAGTTCTTGGGTAGGTTTAGGTTAGAAGGAAATGGTGATGCAATGCTTTCGCTCTTGTCAACCTCAGTCACTGCTGCCATCCCTGCATGCTGTTGTTTCCCTGCTATAACTGGGATGCGTTGGCCAATCCATCGTGGCCACAGCTTCTGGTTCTGAAACATCTGTGGCTTTTGTGTGGTTGCCTCTGCACAAGAGTTCTGTACCACAGTGGAAGTTCCTCTCTGGCTCTCCTGTTGTTCCTTGGCAGTTGGAGCACTTCAGCTCATTTAAACGAGCAGAGCCTGAAGTGTGAGTGTGGCTTTTCACTGTGGTGCTCACTTGACTCCCCAAGTGGCAAAGAAGAGCTGTGTTTAAACCCAGAGTGCCTGGACTTACAGTAAAGCTATAATAAATCACTTGAGGCTATAAATGGTCCTTAAAGCAAGCTTCATCTTTGAGTTGATATCCTTGGGGATCCTTCCAATCCAAGCCATTCAATGATTCAAAGCAAAAATGAGGGTGACTTGTTTTGGATTCTTTCAAAGCCAGAAGCAGTCTGTGCAACCTCCAAAAATAGGTTTTGCTGGTAAGTTTGGTGTTTCTTGCTGAAGGGAGCTGTGAGGTTTGATTGGTGCCTGTTAGACCCTATGGAACGTTGAAACTTTAAATGTTGCCCTTGCTGAGCCATAGTGATGCTCTGCGTGTGGGCTATGTGCCTAAAGACAACTCCAAAACTGTATCTAAGGAGAAATCTCACTTATTTCTTTTTCCCTACTGAGTTATTCTCATACTGTGCTTCTCTAGGAAGCCCCAGTGACAGCTGTGCTATCCAAAAGCTTTCAGTGACTTGAGCTTAGGTGTCACCGGAGCTACCGAGCATGCTCCAAGTGCAAAACCACTTCTGGAGAAGTCCCATTTCCTTCTGTGGGATTTCACTGGGAGTAAGCAAGCCTGGGATGCTTTAATGACTTGTCATTGTGAAACTGTCATCCACCCTGTAAACACGCAGATGGCTGCCAAGTGCAGCAGATATCCAGCATGTGTTCCATCCCAGCTACCTTTGTGGTGGCTGAGCACGGCACGGTGCCGTTGCTGCTTTGGGAGCAGGGGGTCCTCTGCAATGATGCACTGCAAAAAGGTTGGGAACAGAGTTGCTGAAGCTGTTCCTTCAAGTTCATCTGAGTGCGAGCAGGGTTTTGTGACTTTGCAGTGCATCTCCTTCAGGAATCTGTGCTGGGACTGGGTGAAATGGGAGAACTTTTCTCAATGCAAAGTCACTTCCTAAATATGGTTCTAGCATAAGCTCTCCATGAAGCCCTTGTGCTGAGCATGGTGATGTGCTGGCCCAGGAGCAGAGCCCTGCATCTGTCAGTGCTGGCTTTGATATCAAAGCGCTCAGCTGACACTTCTAACTGGGTTTTTCTATTCTTTCTTTCTGAACTCACCCCTGGCTCTAACCTGTGATTAAATCAGTGAGAAGTTGGATGTCCCTCCATTATTGAGGAAGGGTCTGTGTTCCTGGTGAGAGCTGTGGTTTGGGTAGGGCACAGGGCATAGAGGGCATTTTGGGCATCTCTGATTTGGAGAAACTGCAGGAAGAAGGGAGAAAAGCCACTGGAGTGGGTAATGCTGATGTCACACTTGAGCTTTCTTCCTATGGGTGCTTTTGAGCTTCCCAACTTTGAAGCTGATGCAAACTGCAGCAGTCTGGCTTGCAAGGCTGGAACTGCGTGCATCCTTATGGCTGCCCTATGGTGGGGTGGATGGGGACAGTTGGTAATGCGGGAAATTCATTGATCTGAATCTCATCTGGGCAGCTTTTTTGAGACACTGTGCATAGGTAGAATCCTAGCATCATTATGGTTGAGGTAGACCTCTAAGGTCACCAGCCCCAACCCAACCATGCCCGTTGACCATGATAACAGATAAACAACCTTCAGTGCCACATCTCCACAGCTCACAACACCTCCAGGGATGGTGACTGCCCAGGAAGCCGGGGGGAATCTGTGCCAATGCTTGACCGCTCTTTAAGAAAGTCTTCCTAATATCCAGCCTTGACCAGTAAAGGTGATGGAGTGAGTTACCAGTAGGTGCAGATGAGTGGGAGAGAGAATTAGGAGGAAGGGCTGAAAATGAGGAGCTCTTCTTCCTTTCTAGTGCCAGTACAGTTGCTGGCACCCCACAGAAGCAGGGGCTGCTGCTCAGGATCACCCCCTTAGGGGAAAAACCCCACCTGATGGGGCACTGCCTCAGGATTAAGGTTTACTCTCCTTTTCCTCTCACTCGTCTCCATGTCCTGGAGCTGAATGCCTCTTCCTTGCTCTGAGCCTAATTGCATCCCCAGGGTTTAGCACGCGTGTGTTTGTTTTATTCAACGCGTTGGCTGTTCCCACCGGAACAGGCTTTTTTTTTTCTTTTTAAGGGATTGGGCTTTTTTGCTTATTGTGCACAACAAGCTACTGCCCGAGATCCTCGTTGGGGAGGGGTGGAGGGAGGAACTGTAGTAATGCCAATACTTCTTGAATATTATAAACCTGGCTTATCAGCCCGACGCAGGGCTGGAATTTGTCTCTTCCTGTGCTGCATCTCTGCTTTCTGAGAGGCGCGTTTAAATACAGGCTGGAGACGCAGCCTTCCAGTGCTCTCCGTGAGGCCGTGTCAGCAGGAACGGGGCTTCTCAAGAGGCTTTCATTATTCCTTTTGCATTAATTCCTTTTGAGAAAGGGATTTGTTGGGAAGAAGGCTCTGAGACTGCATGTCCCAACAGTACCAGCTGAAGGAGGTGAAGGCAGACGCGGTTTGTTTCGTACCTGGCTCTCCTCTCTTCTCTGTCCTCATGGAGCCGGCTTCTTTTTGCTACCCCCAGCTTACCTTCCTGCGCTCACCCTATGGGCAGTTTGGGGCGAGTGCTGGCTCTTCACAGGACCTGGCCCCGTGGCCTCAACGCTTAGTGCCGCAGAGATGGAGCGGGCCGGTGGATGGTATGTGAGTGGGCTGGGGACCGAGGAGGGTGGAATTGGGAAACCGAGATGAGCGCTGAGATGGTTGGAGTTGGATGGTGGGTGGAAGAGGGAGGTGATGCGCGGAGGGTTGGTGGATGTGCTGGTGTGGGGTTGTTGGTGTGCTCCCTTCTCTGGATCTCTCCTAGTGATGCTTGCTTGGCTGCTGCCACCTCCATCGTGGAGCAGCTGGAGTACCTCAACCAGGGGAGCTGATAAATAACCTCAGCATGGAAAAAAATAAAAATAGAAACCATTCTTTGGCAGTCCTTTGTCTTACAGGCTTGCTCATTCACTGATATGAATTCCTCAGTGTCTGAAACCTGAAATACCTGCTGGAGGCTCAGCAGGCTTGTTTCACCTTTAGGGCTGCATTGCTTTCAGCTTTATCTCTTAAACTGTTATTAAAGTTATCAAGTGTGGGGATAGGTGATTAAGATCCTTTATTGCAGATTTCAGCACTACAGGGAAGTTCCTTATACGCGTGTTAGTTTGGTTCAGAGCTGTCAACACTGTTATTGCAAGGCATCTATATGGGGAAATGGTAAATCCTGCTGTAGGAGTTGAGACTGCTTGAAGTGCCCATCCTGAAGGTTTGTATTTTGTAAAAACTTTTTCAAGAGAGATATTGCAGTTGGTGAAATGAGGTCCTGAGCAGCTTTGATATGGCTCTAAGGCTGCATTGCCTGGAGCGCATTGCTGGGCTGGAGACCTCCAAAGATCTCCCACCCTTAAAGCAAATTTGCTTTACATCTTAATAACAAGCCAGCAGCCATGCACCTCACCTGGCAAAGCTGGTCAGGTGGCACGTAAAGAAATGGAGGAAAGCAGCTGAGCAGTCTCAGCAGGGAGAATGCGTGGGAGGTGTTTAAAAACATGAGCTGTGGTTTCATGCAGCGGAAGCAAGCCTGTAGCAGGAGGAGTGAGGATGGGCAGCGTGGCTCTGAAATCCCTCTGCTAAAAGCAATGCCTTTCCCCCACCTCCCTGTGCGTGGAAAGTGTTGGCTGCCTCCTGGTAAATAATGACTGCTGAGGGACTGTTACTTACAGCAACTCGGATTGCTGTGATCGAAGGGACTCGGAGATGGCAGTACCTGGTGTTTGGAGAACTTGCTGCTTGTTTCTTCCGTAGCTTTCTGCCTTTTGGGAGGCTGACCTGATGCTGTTTTGGGGAGCTGATTTATTCTTCCTCGTTCTTCTTGGCTGGAATAGATCGCTACTCTGGGCTGTAAGCATCCAGCTGGGGGAGACTTGCCTTGCTGTAATGAGAATCTTGCATTGTAAGGGAAGTAAAGCGGTAGGAATAGAACGGGCTGGAGTGTGGGGGAGAGGATGTGGCATCTTCACCCTCCTCCCCCCCCCCCCCCCCCCCCCCCCAAAAGCTTTGTGGGTGCTGCTTAGCAAAGTGTTGGGCTATCGGACTGGGTGATAAACCTCCTTGGATGAGGTGAGCTCTCTTCAGCTCTGTTTTCTGCAACTTGTTGTAACAGCCCGGACTTAGTGCTCTGTTTCCCATTCCCTTACAAAGGCTCCTGGTTTGCTGCTGAATGCCTGCGTTAACCCTTGTGCTGCTGTTGCCTGTGCTGGGAAAAAGACATTGGAGGCAGCTGTGCAGTCAGAGTAGAGTAGCGATGTCTTTAAGAGATTCATTATATCCACTTCTCGGCAGCAGCTTTTCTCCCCTCTCTTCCTTTTGCATCTTTGCATCCTCTTGTTTTCCCTGCACTTCTCTCCTAAGGTATAGCATCTCACTTCTGGTTGAGCCTGGCTGCCACAAAGCCTTTTTCTTTAAGGAGGCACATGAGCTTTCTCTGCATAGCATCCAGCAAAAAGCTCCGGCTCCCAAGTGCAGGGCTGCTTTAATCTGTTTTTCTGCTTTGCTCCCAGAGGGGAAATCTCTGGATCTTGGGTGGGGGCTGGAGGAGAAAACAGGAATCCCATCTTGGTGTGAAGTTAGCAGCTTGCTGGCATCCTTTGTCCGGCATTGGGTTTGGGTGCTGGGCTGGAGGTGCCCAGCTGGGAGCTAATGGGTCACACTCTCACTCCACCCATCTGCCGCTCACCAATTGGAAGTGAGAGAGAAAGATGCTCTGGCTGGATTAATATTGGAGGCACTGAAAAAACACAAGCCATTGCTGCCTCGGCCACCTGAGCAAGTGGCATTGGGGATTGGGTGAATTGGTTCAGAGCAGCCAGGAGAGGAGCGGAGGCTCTTTGGATGGGAACAGCATCTCTACTGAAGGAGTAGTGCAGGTAAGTTGTGGTCTGAAGCAACAATACTGGAATGCTGCTGATGCCGGGTGATGCGTTCAAACAGGAAATTCAGAAAGGCAGCTCTGCCAGCTCTTGAATTATTTAATTCACTAAAGTAAGGCAGTGCTTGATGGATTTTCAGTGGGCTCTGCTGCTCGGTGATGCTGTCTATTGCTGTGCTGGATGTCTGTGCTGTGTGTAAGGATGGAGTGTACCTCCTGAATTCAGTTTACTTTAGCCAAAGTGCTGCCTTTCAGGGGTTGGGTTTAGTTTCAGGGTACCTTGTGCTCATCTCCTTATGCATGTCTTGCCTGTTCTTTTATTTTTTTTCCTCTCAAATTAATGCTGAAATATCCTCCCAGCTTGCAGGAGAAGGCTTTACATACTGATGTGTTTCACGTGGGGAAAGTGCAGTGCTGAGTGAAAACAAAATGCATGCGTGTGATGTAAAATGCTAGCAAGCATCGTTCCTGATGCTGTAGCCATGGAAGCCATGCAGACGAACCATAAACAGTGTCCTACTGATAAACACTCTGACATGTGTTGTCAGTTGGTAATTATTTCATCACTGGACCAAAGCGTTTTTATTTTGGGTTGATGATGGATGGCAAGAACTGATGTGGAGCTGCTGGCTCTCCCCTTGCCCACGTTGTTGTTCTTGTTACTGTTGTTTGCTGTTTAGTGGCTCCTGGATATCGAAATGCTATGGTGTTGCTTGTGCCATCCTGTCGAGCCTGTTGGGATATGAAATCACTTCTGTGGGGAGGGCTGAGGCTGAAGGAATCAGCTGCCTGCCTTTGCTTTTTCCTTTAGGCTGTTTTTAATACTGGGGGATGCTTTCCTTTCAGGTATCTTTCCTGACTGAAAATATTTCCTGGTATCTTTCCACAGCTGAAAATCTGATGTGCTTGGTGATCAGTTGGCTGACCACTGCTCTACTTTCATCCCTTCTTGCTTTCAGTATAGATCTTGGTTTCAATCTTCTGGTTTTGTGTGAATGAGAGCAGGTCTTCTGATCCATTCAGATGGCTTTTTGGGCAGTGGATTTGGGAAGAGGTGCAGGATAAGCTTTGACACAAAGCTTGGTCATCCACAGCTGTCTCTTTAACAACATTTTTCCTGCTTAGTGGCAATAAAAACTTTGTAGTAATGTACTTTACATTCCCAAACATGGTCCTGGTGTCCTGGGGAATGGTAGAGTGTGTACTGCTGCTGTTGGAGCACTTCTTCCACCAGAATCCCAAACCTGATGTGTGTAGTTCCTTATTTCCACTTTGCAGCTTAATTTTTACAGCATTTAATCCAGCTGAACCATTGCAGGGAGCAGCTCTACTCCTTTAAGCCCCAAGCAGGTGGAATTTCTACTGACTTAAACCATGTTGGCATGTTTTACACAGCAGCACTGATGGCCTCTGAAAGACCTTCAAGTGTGGGGAAGGATTTCAACCAAAAACACAACAGTCACCTTTTAAAACCACCCTTTTTCAACCCATATCCAGTCCTGACCAAGATTTGGGGCTGTAGCCATATCTCTTTCGATGGGAGCTATGAGATTTTTTTTGATAGGGCCTTGCAAGTGAAAAGAGCCATCTGAGAAGCTGTCAGTAAGAGTTAAAGCTTCCTAAATTATTTAAGTGTTCAGGAAAGGTCTACTGGAAAGCTTCTGCTGGTTGGTCCTTGGGTCTTTGCCAGCTTGTGGGATCTCTGGAGGTATTTGCTTTCACTCCTCTCTAGGTAGCACTCATGCAAGAAATCCTTACAAGTCTTAAATCACATATTTAGAGGGCCCAACAAAACCTGGGAGTTGAAATAAATAAAACTAATGGCCCAAATTGTTCATTTGTCAGCCAAATCCCAAAGTGCTGTTGTCCCCCAGCTCCGTGGCTTGCTTTGGTCACCTGTGAGATGATGGCCAAGAAACCTGTCCAAGGAGGAAGAGCAAAGCAGCTGCACTGCTCTTATTTCCCAGTGTTTGCCTCCTCACCTCTGGGAGGCACCCTTGGATGTTAATTGCTTGGGGTGAGCTCAATTGTGATGAGTCAACCTGGGCAGCCTGCTGCCAGCTTTCTGCATGCGTGTTTTTTGGGAGAGGAGGTCTTGCCAGCTGCGACAGTGACAACTACTATTTTTCATTAGGTAGTTTTATTGCAATGGGTGTTCTGGAGGAAGCTGGGGAAAGGGATGAAGGGGAGGGGGAATTACTCAATGCAGTAAGGAAAATGCTTTGAAAGCAGGCTCGTCTGATCCCTGAGCCTGTGTGTGGGTGGGTGTTTGCCTGGGAGTGATGAGCAGGCAGGAGGATGCTTCCTGCTCTATTCTTTCAGTGTGATGTTTCTCTATTTTTACAGCCAGCGACTGTGAAAATGAGTCCTAGGGTTTTTTGTTTGCTGGAGTGACCATGGCATGATTTAAGGTCTCCTTGCACTGCTTCCCTGCATCAGAAGAATATCCAGCTCCTTATGTATGGGCCCAGATTAAATGCTTTAATGCTTCCTGAACTGTGGAGCCATAAAATTGCTGTACTGGCATCCTAGAGTGGTCATACTGTGGTGAATACTTTAGCTGGACCCAAGTGACTCCAGTGCACCACGGGTTACCCTAGGAGATGTCAGACTGTTGTTGCTGTGTCTTCCAAAACCCAACAAAATTGAGCTTTCTCAAGGAGTTTTAGAGTTTAGGTTCAGGTAACCCAGACCGTGGTGCAAAATAAATAATAAATAAGAGTATGG